AAAAAAAAAAAAAAAAAAAAAAAAAAATCTAAAATATTCACAGAGGGAGTCGCGTCGACCGATCCAACGAGAGCCATACCACATCCCAAATCCGAAGTTAGGTCAGAAAGCAAACGTCGAGGAACGATGCTCGTCAAAACAAACCCATTGTAAACCGATCGAATCGTTTTACAGTCAGAAATTAAAATCAATTTGCGTCCCGTGTAGCGGTAATGGGGAGAATCTGTCGTGTCATGCGTCAGATTGGACGAATGCTACAGCTATATATATATATATATATATATATATATATATATACATCCATCCATATATACACCAATACGTTATCCATATACCGGGACGATTGACGCTCGTACGGTTGATCGAGGTTCACCAATGGTTCACGATGCTCCACGATCATCCATGATGATCCACGGTACGTTCAAGGCCCTTTCAAACCGATGCACGAGTCATTAGGCGGTGGAATGTCCTGACCAGACCCCCCGCGGCGGACACGGGGACTTCTCCACGCACCTACAATTTCACATATATACATACATAGCGTGCCAACACCATTAGCCCAGCCTCTCGTTCTAACCCACTGGACCAACTTATATATATCTCCCTCTGGGCCTTTTGCTCCCGTACGAATGTCCCGCCTAATGAGTACAGGGTGCGCCCTGCCTTGCAGCACCAGTCGCTACCTACCTTTCCTCCAACGTAAGCACCACCATTTTTCATACAGCCCAGCAACAAACCAATGCAGCGTTATAATCGAGTGCTGGATTTTCGCAGTTTTATTATTAAAAGAGCCTCCGTTCTCGAAAGTCCGGACAATGGGGTTTCGTTCGACCGACCCAGGATCCAGATGACTGCTGCCAGTCCAAGGTAAAGACTTCCACGTGGTGTCTAAAAATAAATAAAATTTATCACCATAAGCTGTTATTAACCATCGATACTAAAGCTTGACGTTAGTATTACGTACGTGTGTAATCCGTTCTGTTTTCGCGGGAGTTCACGTAAGCGTTATCACAAAGCCCTTGATAAAAGCCCCTAATTGGGCTCTCGAAGCGCAGGATTACATGGTCGTCGGAGTAGAGCGACGGAACAATGTAATATCGTAGCGTTACCATAGACGTGAATACAGCCACAAACGGACTGGGATATCGGCATATTCAGATAGGTGCCACGTGACGAGCCGGTATAGTCCAGAGGGGCGATGGCGATGAACGTAGTATGGATGGGTGTTGTGTATGCCTGAAGTCAGCTGCGCAAGGGAATAATGTGGTAGGAAAGTCATTGCGCAACAGTGGCCGCCCGTGGCAGCGTCTTCGTTCCGAGCCCCGAATATTCGCAGGCAATTTCCCAGAGTCGCTCGGGCTTTGTACGAGGTCGCACGACGTCTGGTCGAAAGTCGAGGGAGTGACGAGGAAATCGAAGGAGCACTTCCGGTCGTGGCACAAGTACCCAGCAGCCCCCAGTATACGGGGGGGGCCTTCCCTAGTCAGTTCCCGGATCACTATAAAACGGCCGGTTTAAGGTCACCCGTAAAACCAGACCCGAGAGGTTGGACTGTCGCTGCGACAGCAGCGCCCTCACGCCTAACAATCCCAAAGTCCTCGTCTACCCTGCGTCCCGAAATTGTTTAATTTAACAGCCTTTCGCGGATTCTTGATCTCGACTACGGACTTTATTGCTTATTTCCTGTAGGAGGGTAACGACCACGGGTTACCGAGCTTTCTTTATGCTCTGCGCTCGCCGATCGAATGAGGCTGCGGAAGATTTACGGTCTAGTTCGTTCGTAGGGGGAGCCACTAGGAAGCGCGGGAAATTTAAATTTCTTATTTCGACCGTTCTCACGTCTCATTGCCAAGTGGATGTAGAGGATGAAGTTTTGCGAGAGTTTTTTACTTGGTTACGTCATATTTCAAGAATTGGGTTATAGATTTATTATTATTTAATAAAAAGCGTCTTGGCGTCTGCTACTCGTTTTGTCGATCTCAGACGTCGTTTCTCCTGTGTTCCTTTGAGATTTTGAATTTTCACTTAAATTCTCGATACTCGGATATAGCAACGTCGAGTTTCGGTTAACTAATGAAACTTCAGACGATAAAAGGGCGTCTTCCCTCTCTCTCTCTCTCTCTCTCTCTCTCTCTCTCTCTCTCTCCTCTCTCTATCTCTTTGAAAGTAACCTACCGAAATGGCCTGCTTCGCGTCAGTATGTCCTGGCCATAAAACGAGAAAAGGTCACAAGGTGGAAGGAGCCTTATCGGAGCCCGGCGAATAACCGTAGAAAGAGGAAGCGAAGGGAGAGCAGCGCGGTACGAGATTGTTTAATTTAACAGCCATTCAGGGAATGTTCGTTTCCTCTTTGAACTTCACTCGCTCGACCTTCGCGCGATCTATAACCTCGTAGCGACCTTAAGGTCGCACAAAGAAATTCACTGAGACGCGTCCATACTTCGTCACTGATAACTTCTGTTAATTACGTCGACACATACCTACCCAGTGTAATTGGCGTCTGCGCCTACACGCGGGCGAACATTAATAGCGAATAATAATTGTGCCAAAGAAATTACAGCAACAATAATAATACCAGAACCTGGAAATTGAAACATTTCGCATAGATTGATCAAATTATTCGTGGAAAATGTAAAAAAAAAATTATATTTAATTTTAAAAAAAATTATTACCCAAAACATTTCTTTTACTCGTAAGTGTCCAAATGCTTTCATAAGACTAATCGTGTGTAAGCCAATCAAGTACACTTCGTCGTATTCGAGAGAGATTAAACACCTATTACGGTGTTAAAATTATCACAGTATTGCTACGCTCAGCAAGCATTAATTATGTTAGCGAACAATTAGAATTGCCAATAGGCGTCGGACCGCTGTTTGAACAAGGACACTGAGCGTCCATTGTCCATGGCGGCGCAACGCCTAATCTACTCGGTTAAGCGGTGCTGCTACAAAGAGAAAGGTAATAGAAGATAGTGCACAGAGAGTGGGATAGAGAGAGAGAGAGAGAGAGAGAGAGAAAGAGCGATACGAAATTAGTAAAGGCATAACAGGAGCAAATGAGAAGGAAGATTAACAGTAGAGAAGATCGGGCGCAACGCCTAATCTACTCGGTTAAGCGGTGCTGCTACAAAGAGAAAGGTAATAGAAGATAGTGCACAGAGAGTGGGATAGAGAGAGAGAGAGAGAGAGAGAGAGAAAGAGCGATACGAAATTAGTAAAGGCATAACAGGAGCAAATGAGAAGGAAGATTAACAGTAGAGAAGATCGTATAAAGGTTATGTGTATATGTATATATATATATATATATATATATAGCAAGGGATGTTAATAGAACTGATAACAGGGACGATGGGGGCTGGCGCAGTGAAGGAGCTCCGTTCTGTTGTGTGCTGGCAAGGGGATGGCAAGGGGGTGGAAATCAGTGTAGAGAGTGATTGATCACACTGACGTAATCGTGCTAATTAGTCCAGAGTAATAGGCTTATCGGTACCGGTACAGACAGAGCCACCTGCCAGCTGAAAATTCGCGAAATCCTAGCGTAATCGGATGAGGAGAATTCGGTAGGGCGGGAATCGGCAGTCGATACGAATATCTTAAAAGTGAATCGAGATTACATAAAATGTCAAAATTAAATTTTTGTTGGTAAAATTTTTTTTGCGGATTTTCACTCGCGATATATTTAGAGGAGATTCGGCCTCTTATCGTTCGTTCGGTACTTACGTTACTGCATGTTGATTTTTATTTTTGAATTTTGAAAACAATAAATTTTTGGTTTATTAGCATTATATCGTATATATGCAAAATGTTAATTTCGACCAGGAAATTTATTGGCAATATGTAATCGCTGTTACGTGTTCATTGGGATGTGTTGGTATACCTGTATCTAATCTATTATTGATGTACACGTGCATATATATAGGTTGCCTAATGTTCCAATCGATTTACATAGATTGAAATTCTATTTGATGAATTTGCAAGCACTTCAACACCAAATTCCATGTATGAAACTGGTCAGCCGTGTTTCGATATCATTACCATTGGCAACAATCGTCGAAACAGCGTTACCAATCTCCAGCCATTTTCGATAGGTCGGATTCGCTGGACGCGTCTGCGAAATTTGCCAGGCTGCCTTGCGAATGGATAACGTATTAGGGCGAGTCTGGCTACGATATTTCGTATTATAATTTCCACGTCTGACGTCTGGGTCGATACCACGAACAGCGGATAGTTGAAATGACAGGATGGAGAAAAAAAAGAGAAAAAATTTGCAAAGTTGCGAATAAATCAATATTATCAAGGGGGCTTTTTTTTATATTACAATTTTTTTCCCCATTACTTTTCAAAATTATACCTACGATCATAGGACTCCGAAGGAATTTTTTTTCAAACCAAATTTTGTTTAGGTCAATTTATATTTATTCACTGTGATTATCTGTTTTGCGAATTGTCTATCGATGCGTCACTAAGTAATCAAGAAACGTGACTCGGTAGTAACTAGTTCGGTTTCGCTTGTAGTTTTGTGTGTAATATATATATATATTCTTGTATTTTTCCAAGAATCAAGAAAAAAGGAAGGTAACAGTAGCTTAAACAAACAATGGATCGACAAAGATTCGTGAAACCTGCTAATACCGATTTTATTCGACAGACTCATTGCTATTTATAAAAGTTCAGTGACTTCAGGAGCGTTTCGCAAGTAGCTGCGAAAAAAAAAATCGACGTAAAACGCGATCGTCGATATTCGATCAGCTCGAGCGAATCTTTTGCACAGATGTTAAGGTGGAGTTCACGGTTGACCCATTTGACAAAAGGCTTGTTAAGATTTTCAACGCAATCAGGTATTTCAATTGACCCGTACCGTTATGACTATTGACGATCAACCAATGACACCGACCACGCGTGAAAATCGCACAGTATGAAAAAAGTATACTTTCCAAAAAAAAATTTTTTACTTTCCAAATTTCCCATAAAAATTTTTCCAAAAATCCCCAAAAAATCCTAATTTTTGGGTCAGCACGCTTCGTTGAACGTGTTTCCATATTTACAAAGCAATCGACAAAAGCGTGCGCCCCCCCCCCCCC